TACTTCCAATTTTCACATTGCTGTTATTTGAAAATGATATCTAATAAAGCTTTTAGTTATTCCCATGCAAAAACAAAAAACAAAAAAACCCACATTTTTTTTTTTGCAGTATTGGGGGCTGGAACCAGGGCCTTCACGCTGAATTACAGCCCGAGCTGATTTTTTGTTTTAAGACAGGATCTCACTACCTTGCTAACTTGCCTCAGTTACACTAAAACTGGGGATCCTCCTGCGTCAGCCTCCCTGGGCCCTAGAATGACAGGTGAGTGCCACCACCCCCAACCTATTAGGACATTTTCTAGGATGGACTTGAGCATTTGCAGATTTCCTTTTGGCAAGGTCCTGAAGGAATCTCCTAAGGAAACTAAGGGATCGTTAAAGTTAAAACTGTAATGAAAACATATACAAATCTGAGGAAATCGAGAAGCTAACTAATAGCACATCTCGGCTTCCTGCGAGTCCCCGGGAACCAACTGCCCTTCTGAAATCTTCTCATCTGGCCTAAGACTGGCACTTACAATGATGTCTCCCGCAGCACGGTCATGAACAAAAAGTATGGCTGCAGGGAAAGGCAGCACGGAGTCTCCACCCAGAACCCTGATGGATGCTTACAAAGTACGACGGGCAAAATGCAGACTGCAAATCACTTCCTGAATTTCGCTGGTGTAAGAACAGAGCTTGGTGGGTGTCATGGGGGCCCCCAAAGATGTGTCCACGTCCTGACCCCAGGACCTGGGACGGGACCTGATTTGGAAACAGGGCCCCTGCAGAGGGAATTGGAGCAGGATCTGGGGACGAAGCCATCCAGGGTCGGGGTGGCCCTGAATCCAACGGCAGCGTCCTCACGAGAGGCAGAGGAGGAGACGCAGACAGAGGAGGAGCCGCGTGCAGACTTGGGAGGCAGAGGCGGGAGTGACAGGGCCACAGCCCAGGGCCACCTGGAGCCCAGGATGAGGCAGAGGCGGGAGGGTCTCCCTCGGTCTCAGCCTCCTGGGCTCCACAACCGGGAGAGGGTGATTCGTGTTATTTCAGGCCACAGTTCGGGGTCACATTTTACAGTTGCCCCAGAAAGGTCATCCGTACACCGTGCACACTAACGATCTAAAAACAAAGAGTAGGAAAACCTCAAGGCAAAACAAAGAACGGAAATAGGGAATACAGCACGGAGACAAACAGCAGCACATCATGACGGGAGGAGGGACATGAAAGGGGAAGGCACGAAGACGTAACTAGCTACTCCGCGGCACCCAACAGCCGTCTGTCTTCCTCCCCTTTCAGTCCCTGTTTCACGGACGGACGGCGTCCCGGAAGCTCCACAGAGCTCCCCACCTGTGCAACTCAGCTGCAGGTGTGGTCGCTCTTGGTTCCCAATGGTCAGGAAGAGGCTCGAAGCGATTTGTGAGGCAGAAACGTAAGAGTCCCCTCAAAGACACAGAGCGCAGGCCCTGGAGACAGAGGGGCATGCTGTGATCCGGAGCTGCTTGTGTTGATGGGGGGGGAGTCAAAACAGTGGGCATGCGTAACTGTCATCCCAGGGCTCGGGAGGCCGGAGCAGGAGGATCTCCATGGCGTTGAGGCCAGCCTGGGCTACGCAGTGAATTCAGGGCCGGCCTCAACTACATGGCGAGACCCTGCCTCAGAAAAGCAAATAAAGGATACAGTGTGCGCGCGCCTGTTGGGGGGGACGCGTTCCTCCCACGTGGCTGGGTCAGAATGCACACCCTGGGGCGGGCGCTAGAAGCGGAGATCCACCCTGAGGGAGACAGTGCAGTTTACAGGCGCGAAGAGATCCTCCATGCTCAGGTGGAAAGGGCCACTTGCAGGTAAAAGGGGAAACTGAACTACTGAATCGGGGAGAACAGACAGAAGAGAAGGGAACCAGCCTGGAGCAGCTTTTGTGTCCGGAAGCTGCGGCTTTTCCTCAAAGCACAGTTTTAAAAGTCTGATTTTCCCGGGTCCCTTTACCCACGCCTACTTCTTCTATTCCATGTCACTTGCCGGCCGTGAAGGGCCTGAAGATGAACACCCCCAGCTGGGGGAGGTGGTGCCCGCCTTGAGCCCCATCCTCAGGAGGCTGAGGCAGGAGAATGGCGAACTAGATTCCAGCCGGGGCAACTAAGCAACTTACGGAGACCCCGTAAAGGAGTAAAAAATTTTTAAAAAGGGCTGGGGATGGAGCTCAGTGTGAAGGCCCTGGGTTCAATCTCTGCCACCACTACGAGAAAAACAGCTGTGTCTGACTATCATGAAACAGAAGCTATAATTATAAATTCTGTACAATAGGCAAAATATACTATCAACAAAATGTAGCGTATTAATAAGGTAATATATTATAAATATGTTATATATTCATCATATACATCAATACATAGCTACATAATTATGTAGTATTATAATCTGGTTTATACTGTTATAGATATTACACTACACCTGATATACATTAATATATCCCTATTAATGACACATTGTCATACTTGTTATAATAATGACATAACAATAAATCCTTAATGGGAATATACTGACATAGTACAACATTAATATATGATAGTATATGTACTATATGATAGTATATATACTGCCATATATATAATATATATTACAATATATGAGTATGTTATAATATAATATATACAGAGTATATATGACCGTACTTATAACGGTACAATACTCTATACACATTATTGCATTTTACTGCACATCGCATATTATGTAAATGTATATCACATTACATAATTATGTGATACTGTATTACACATACAGTGTAACATACACCGACATAAGGTATAGAATTGTACGTACAGCTGTACGGGTCAAGTAGCTTCTATTTTAATTCTGTTCCAATAGCTTTCTTCTGCAGGCTAACACCATCCTATTCTGAGATGTATCCCCTCCTAGTAGTGCGTCCCAAAGGCCTAATCCTGCATTCCGCGTGCGATGTATTTGCATGGCCTGCATTTGCATAGCTCGCATTTGCATGCTCTGTAACCTGCAGTGTTACACGGTAACCCTGCAGCAGCCTAAAGGGCTTTCCCGGCTCCAGCCTTGAGCGAGCCTCGGACAATGGCGCCCTCTGGTGGCCGAATGCACGAAGGACAAGGTGCGGCTGACGCTTGGACCTGCTGTTTTCTTTGGTGTATTTTCACTTTGCTCGGTCTGGGTGTGCAGTGCACAATGACCACATCCTGGTGGGGAGCGGGTGCGCGCACTGACACATCTCAGTTCTTTCTTTCTCCCCCTGCTCTCCCTGCATCTCTCGGTCCCCTTCTCTTCTGCGAAGGACCATGTCCTCTGTCCACTCTCGCATCTCCAAGCCGTGGCTGCTCCTTTAACTTGTGCCTCGCTGGGCTGAGACATCCTGGACCCCGGGGTGCATGTGCACTGTGCATCTGTTTTGGCGGGCACCAGGGGGCACCAGAATCGGAAAACTCAGCCGAGCAGAAGGGCAGCTCGGAGCCCTCCCAGGCGGAAGTCATGGAGAAATGAGAGGTGAGGACGAGGCACACTTATGCGCGTCACCTGAGAAAGCCTCTGACTGTGTTGTGAGTGTATGAAACAGTCGAGTCGGGAGGGAAAATTACAAGACAGATGACGAGCACGGGGATTAAGGAGAAAGGACACTTTGGAGAGATCCACTGATGGTAACAATGCTGGTAGCAGGACGGTTGGGTAAAGAGAGGTAACACGTGGCAAGGGGACAGGTAGATGAATCCAGAAATACATGGATCTGCAATGGTGAATGGATTGACAGAAATAGATGATGGATGGATGGAAAGATAGGTAGGTAGAAAGATCCATGCATGGGTGGGTGGGTGCATGGATGGGTGGATGGGTGGGTGGATGGTTGGGTGGATGGGTGGGTGGATGGATGGGTGGATGGGTGGGTGGATGG